GTTATTGCGCTTCGAAAAATAGGTATGCAAAAGTGGAATGAGATGAATTTGTGTAATTTGATTCCACTCAGCTGCTGTGGTGGCATTGTTTTGCATTTTATGTGCCAGCGTGGTTATTGTTCGTTGCTGTTGTTAGTGCTCTGCATTTAAATGCAAAATATTCAAGTACACGTCCTTCAAACGTAACAACAGAGGGTTAAACTATATGCAAATATACAATCAAACTTTATTGTTTTGCAGTTGCACTGTAGGGCAGGAGGGTTGCCATTGAGATTCGCATTGTAACCATAGCGCAATAATTGTTAAATGTATTCACTGGAAGTTTTATGTGGCGTGAATTGGGGTTGTAGTTTTGTAAAAAATTGGAGTTATAAATTAATTTTAAATGCTAATTTGCCAAAAATTGTGAATATACATTAGGGCGGGTGGTCATTTTATATGGGAGATAAAGCACAGAAGGATTATACGTGTAATTCTAAGCAATATTGCGAAAATAAGTTTCTAACCATTTTGCTGTAGTGTCGTTAAGAAGTGCTTAAATTTTGTATTAAAGCATGATATAAGGGATTTTTTAGATATCAGGAATCCATTTCTGCACTTATCGTTTTCTTTAATCTTCCATCAGAGTGAAATCTTTCAAACTTTCTTCAAAACCTTTTTTTTTTTTTGCAAATAAGCAATTTTCAAATGGATTTTCGACCCATAGTTTATTCGGAAAATTTGCTTAGAATTACAAGTAGAATCCTCCTATGCTATTCGCGCATAGTAAAAAAAATAATAATAATAAAAAAATTGCCCCGCCCTAATATACATACATACGTATGTACACAGTTTTTTGACTTCAGAGGTTAAATTTTTTGTTCATATTTACAAAATCTTTTAAAATCTCTTTTGCAATCGAAAAATAATCGTGAGCCTCTACTCTCTGCTATGAGTTTCTTTCGAAGATATTGATCGATCTGTTTCGATATCTTCTAGATAACGTCATAATGAAACCAATTTTTAAAATGTTAATAATTACAGTGCGATTTATCTAAAAAAAATTTTGTAGTTTTCTGGTTAATTTGGAAACTTTTCTTGACTTTTTAAGATTAATGAACTTCTTTGGAAAATTTTGCGATATTTTTCCAATTTTCTTAACATTTCAAAGTTTGCGTATCAGAATTTGTTTGAGTTTTTTCGAATTTTTTGTATATTTTCGGAATTGATCGAGAGTTTTGTAAGTATTTCAGGGTTTGATTTTTTTAGAACATTTTTGACACGTTCGGTATTCGTGTTTTATTTTTCGAAATCTTTTATATTTTTTTTATGGATTTCAAGGAAACTTACCGTTATTTTTTTCGGAACCTTTTCAGAATTTTTCCGTGACTTTTCTGAGTGTTTCGGGATTTGTTGGGATTTTTTGGGACTTTGCTTCACCTTTCAAAACTTGCGTTTCAGAATTTTTTTGTGAATTGTCGGGGATTTTTCGATCTTTTGTCAATATTTCAGGGTTTGCATCTAATTTTTCTTAAGATTTTTCAGTGTCTGCCTTTTAGTTTTTGGAATTTTTCGTGACTTGACGGAACACGAGAATCGTGTTTAATTTTTCGAAATGGCTAATAATTTTTTTCCGAATATTCGGGATTTTAAGTAAACTTAGCGGGATGTTTCTTTTAAGTTTTTCTGATTTTTCTGTAACCTTTCTGAATATTTCGGTGATTTTAGTAAATATTTGTTTTTCGATATTTTTCCGCGACTTACTAACATATCAGGGAAAGTGTTTTTATTTTTTCGAATTTTTTTGTAATTTTACTAATTTTTTTTCGAGTTTTTCAGGGTTTGCATTTTATTTTTCAATTTTTTTACGACTTTTCGGCACTTTTGCGACACGTCTCTCTATGTTTTGAGATTTTTGTTTTATTTTTCGGTACATTTCTGAGCTTTTGGCACTTTTCGAAATGTTATAGGCAGTTTTCTGATTTTTTTCTTGGATCTTTTTCGGAATGTTTTGTTAGCATTTCTTGGGTCATTTGGCACTCCTTCGATGCTTTTATTGATATTTTTAGTTTCCACCTGCTGTTAGTCAGCAGATCAGCCTACCGGCACTTTTATGCTAGACTTGGATACCCAAGTGCCTTAAACGTTGCCTAATTATCCGACCAACTAGCAATGCTTACCATGGTTTGTTCTGAGGCTGGAACCCTTTTACACAATTCTTCGTTTACTTAGCAAAGACATCAGCGTTAATAGCATTGCCCACATCTGGCAGTCGAATAGACTTTTCGATTTTAAATTTTAAATTTTCTTTCAGTAAATTTTCATTGCTCTTTAATGTGAATTTCTGAATTTTCTCTTAAAATTTGTTTTAGTGTTTTTACTCCTTTAATATTTCGTCCAGTCTGCTTTCATTTTTTGTCACGCTTTGAATGCTGCATGCTAATAAATATAATGAATTCATACTGCGTCGTCGCCATCGTAAATAGCGCATTTAACAGTTGAAATTTTTTATATTTTTCCGTTGACGTGCTATTCGGTTCGCTGAAGTTTAGTTGACAGTACAAACCGAAATTGCATAGTTGAAATGTACATTTATTTTTTGTTTTTGGTATTTTTTCAACACTTTATTTTGCCATAAATGCATTTCGTTTAACGGTCTTACTTTTTCGCACCCGCTTTCTCTTTCTACACACAACATTTTTTAGTTATACTCCTTTTTCCTATGCGAATACGCTTTATTTTACTGTCAACTTATCAGTGCACAGTAGTCTACCTTAAGGCGCATACTTTAATATGCTGCATATAATTTTTTTTTACTTTTAAAAATTTGGAACTTTAACTAAGCTGTGAGCACAAAGCAGCAACAAGTTGTAGCGCAGTGGCGATATAACAGCACAACTAATGCTGGCAGAATATTAAAGCGCCACAGCGCCGCACAGTGGGGCGAATAAAGGTGGTCGTGTACAAATCAGTTTAGACGCCTCAATTTTCATACGATTTTAATTTTTATTTTACAAAAGCTGATAAAATTCCTTACCAATCGGTTGGGGCCGATTTTTCAAAAAAAGGACCAAAGTTAGGCATTTTTTCTTAAATACAGCCTTGAATTTATAGGTATGTATTGCATTTGCATATTTTTATACAGTGGGGTTAAAGAATTTTTTTTATATTTTTGATTGATTCGAACATGGCTTTTTAGCAAAAATTTAGTGTTTAATAAATTTTTAATTAATAGGCGCAATTTTGATAGTCAATAAACTGCGTGTAACAAAATAAGAACAATTTACAACTGCTGCAAATTTCAGAAAATTATTAAAAGAACAAAAAAAAAAAAAATAATCAAATTTTCAGCTTTATTGTTAAAAAAACCGTTTGAAATTATTCTAAAAAAATCGGCTCCTGCGCCTTGCCACTCCCATATTCATTCACTCCGTCCCGAGGTTAACTACTATGCGCTGCAACTCCTCCATCTGCCACGCTTTGCGCGCCGAAACTTTACTCTGCTCTGCATTTTTTCTTCTTAAACATTGCCACATTTTACTATCTACGCTGTCGCATTAGCTTTTTACAAGGTGGAAAATTGTCTGTTTGCCTGCTTATTTCCTGAATGCTTCCGTTTTTGTGTGTCTTCGCCGAAGTACCTGAGCCATCAGCTTCTTCTTGCATGCTTCCTTGAAAGTGGCAGTGCAAAAAAAGCCCACATAATGCGTTGCAGCCTGCCCGATGGCAGATGACATTCAGTGTGAATGCAGTCGGTGGAAAGTATGTAAGTACAAGTACAAGTACAAGTATGTCGCTAGTGTCGCTACAATGCTACAACAACAGCAATTACATCCCTAGCCAGTTGACAGGCATTTACATTTATACGCAGCAATTTGAAAATGGGTTTTTATTTAAGTTTGCTGCTACAGCTTCGGTGTTGACTGCCTCGCTGGTTGTCACATTACTGGCTGCTAGAATACTGCTGCGTGTGGACGGAGGTGGTGCGGTGGGGCGCGTTCGGGGCGTTGTGTAAGTCACGCGCTCGAACGTTAATGTTCACTTAAGCAAATTGTAAGCGCATATTTCTACTAAAACACATATTTTGTAATTTTTGATGGCAACAAAAAACGCCTAGCAAGGACAATGCACACATTTATGTTTGTTTGTATGTTATACGAGTGCGAGTGGTCCATAGAGTGGTTAAAAAAAAAAATGCGTTCCAGCGGCATTTTCAAAGAAAAAATGGGTCAATGGTGGCAACGCTCGAAATCCGCGCCAAGCTATCACTCTTTGAGGATGCATTGTCTTCTCGACGATCACGTGCGGGTTTTCCGATCTCCAGAAGGGGCAGTTTTGTTTGTTAATATAGTCGCCAAGATGAAAATGCACTTCACCAAAAAAAAAAAAAAATTTTTTTTCGAGCAAACTCGTTGACCACTTAGAGCTGCTCTAAGGCCCAAATTGAGAAGCGATAACGGAAGGGGGACGGTCGTGTAACTTCAATTGCCGGGGCCAATTGGATCTTGGCTCGCACACTCTTGGCTACGGCAGCCACATTCTCGTTAGTGGGGACCGTGCGTGTTTTCCACTAGTAAGCCAGTCTCACTTACCTTTTGCCTCATTTCGGGCAATTTTTGTTTTTCAAGAAGCGCACTGTTTGGGCTCCACAACAATGACTTTTGAAGGAAACAAATGTATATTATTTTCCAAGTTCTTCAAGCGTAAATCGATTAATTTCGTTCCGCGGCGATATGACACATACCGACTTTCTGTAAAGTTCTCCACCGGGAAACGGTCTGCCCCTGTTAATATAACATATATATGATTAAAAGCAATGATTATGGACCACCCTTATATGCAGTGACTAGCTGCTGCAATGATTAAAGCAGCCAACTACTTTATTAACTAGCAAACTACTTTCTGCTCTACTTTTAACGCAAATAAAATTGGATATTTTTTTCTTTGCATTTTCCCAGCCTTTCTTACTACACATCCACTTATACCATTTTCTTTTTCTTCTTTACTTCGTGTTTTTACAGTCTCCTAAGGAATGCAACTTGGTTTTGGTGCAGCGTACGCCGGAGATCTGCGAATTCCTTGGACTAGTAGTGCCGCCACCAGTGGCAGCAGATAGCAATAATGGCAGCAATACTATAACAATAACAACAACAACAACTACAACGATAGCTTCAACGACAACGTCCTCAACGATCAGCACAACAAGCGCCACACCAGCAGGCGGCGCACATCCTGCCGAGCAAACTGGCTCCATTGGAGGTAAATTAACTTTGTTGCGATGAGGTTATTTTCTATTGCTCCTACTCGTACTCGTACTATATGCGTTTTTTAATCTATTTTACCACAGTAAATTTTACATTTTGCAATTTTCCAATTTCTTCACAATCTATCTATCCTTGTATCTTTCTATATGTATATGTATGTGTGCGTGCCTGCGTGTGCAGCTATATTGGCGGCCATATTATCGTTGACTTGCTTTGTCGCTTGCCTGGGAGTGTTTGCTTTTTCGCCGGAACGCCGGAATAGCGTGAGACGTTTATTTAGACGCAGCACCACGGCGGTGCGTTATTCGAGGGTAAGTTAGTATGCACTTATGAGTTAAAGGACTGCAGGTGTATTTAATTTTAAGTTAAAGTTAAAATTTTATTCCTAATTTGATTTTGATGTCAATACTAAGTTTTGATTTTAGTTCTTATTCGAATTTAAAATGCATTATTTAACAATTTAGATTCAAATTTGTTCAAAGCTGTTTGTTTTATATTCTGATTTAATTTTAACCTACCGTGACGGGTCCTTTAAAATAAAAATGATAATTTAACCCTTAAAATGGTATTTATATTTTTCCGATGAAATTTAACCGCTCTTTTATAATTTTTATTTTTATTTTTTCGAACAAGAATATTCGTTGTTTTCGGTTGTTTATTTTTGCGATAAAATTTTGACCGTTATTTTTGATTTTTTTTTTTCTGTCATATTATAACCGTTACTTTCAGTTTTAATTTTTTAGATCATACAATATTTCAAATGATCAAAAAATATGCAGTCTGTATTGCATTATAACGGTTAAAATTGACCGGGAATTAAAAAAAAAAAATAAAAATAAATATAAAGAGCGATTGAATTTGACCGAAAAATAAAAATCAAAGTTTATCAAGTATACTTGCTCGGAAAAATAAGAATGCAAAATAGCTCTTTTGCAATGATCTACAGATGAAAAATTTGGTATTTTACGGATATTTTCGGTCCCTAAATTAAACTAAAATTTTAATTTATTTTGGAACGAATTTCCGTCATCCCTCGTCAAGTTTGGTTTGCAGACAAACCGGTTTCGGCATTGTGCCATCTTCAGTGTAATTTTTCGTTCTTTAAATTAAGTCAAAATTGTCTTTGAAACTGAGACTAAACAGGTAAGCTGAAAACAGGATTATCATTGTGGGAGGATCACCACAGCATGGCTTAAGGCCTGGCAGTTCCAAAAGTCGGAGGTGCATGTTAACTCTTCAAATGGGTGGTACTACTTACATCCAACTGTGGACTTAAGGAACGCGCAAAGTAGACAAGTACAATAGGGACACTAGAGAAATGCTCTAAAATTCCTATCAGTATATTAGCAATGGGCAGAGAAAACTTTTACCCTGTGCACATTCATACAAAATGCTTTATACCCTAACACATAGTGAGAAGATAAGAAACCGGGATCTTATGCTGCCTAGAAATAATTACATATCACTTGCGGTTAATTTACAGAACCCCGACTACTTGCCGCGATTGTTTACTGCTTTCGTGTTCCTTTTAACTTGTTTAAAATCTACTTGATGCGCCAATATTTAGATCGGAGCATCTCCCCCAAGAATTGAAAATTGTCCCCGTTGCCTTCGTTATAGTACATAGACTCCATCATCATCCAGCATCAAATTAGCGTTGAGAGAATCATAGAAAAAATGCTCTTTGGTGAAGCAAACTGGCAAGTAATAAGCAGCTCCAGCCTGAACTAATGTAAAAAATCTCCACACAGATTGGACGATATGTCCTGTTTGCTTAGATGTTTGTAAAATTTTACTTTTTATTTTTCTTTTATTATGATTTCTATAGTAGTTTTTTTAAACGAAATAATTGTTGACATATCACTTTCTTCTGCAGGTACAGTCCAACGAAGAGGCTAATCTACTGCTTGAGCCGAATGGAGAATTTACGGAAAGCGACGATGATATGCTGCTTTAAGACAGTGGCTGAAAACCCTGCAACAACTACAAAAAACAAGGATTTCCACAAATTTACAACAAAGACGTGTATTGAAGACAAAATTAAAATTGAAAACAAAAAAAAACAACTACGTATTTAATACATATACATACGAAATATTTTCATAGCCTAACTTAAATATTGTACTGAAAATTTTATGAGCTAAAAAATTTAAGCGAGCTTTTTCTTAGCCACTCAAACCTCACTGAAAAAAAACTAAGAAATGTAAAAAACACCAAAGATGAAAGACGAAAAAGGCAAAGAATGAGCAAAAGACCGAAACATAAAATAAAAAAAAAATTTTATTAAAAAAAAAAATGAGAAAAAATCCACAAATCAAAACAAAGATAATAATAAAACTCCAATACAAAAAAAAATAAATAAAAATAAAATAAATAAATAAAAAAAAAAATCAAACACTAGCAGCCAATTTTACAAAAGCAATTTAAATGAAAAATGATTTTAATTTTATGAATTTGATATGGAAATTGGCAGAAAATAAAAAAAATCATTTTCCATTTAAATTGCTGGTGAAACCGGCTGTAAATGCAAGCAGCAAACATCGGCGGCAACAATAATATTGTATTAAAAAGGAGTATATTATAAAACAAGAAAACATTTTTACGCATTTTTTTTTTAACCATAAAGTATGTGGTGAACATTCTAGAATGCAACAAAAACAAAGAAATACTTAGAAATATCTGCAAACTGTACAAGTGCGCAATAAACGAACGTATGAATGTAGCTTAAAGAGATACAAACAAACAAGAAACAGCAGCAAATGTGAACTATGTGTATATTTTTTTAAAATTCCTCACAATCGTAAATGTAATTAATGTTTTTTAAGCCATCAAGGTGTGCAAAAAATGAATGGCATGTTTTCTCCAATGTGGGAAACTATTATATGAATTTAGTATGTATTTTGGCATTCGCAATAAGCGTAATGAAAAAACAGCTAACGGATATGCAGCTTTAATTGTGATTGTAACGCACACATGTGTATGTACATATGTAACTCATAATGTGTTGTGCGTTGTATGCTTAAAAACCAATGAATATATGTATGTACTTACTCACTACATACTTATTTAATCCTATTTATTTGTATTCATTCACAGTATCTATAAATGTACTTAATTTTTCTTCTAATTCAAATAGGTTTATCTTTAAAAATTAAGCTTAATTAAATATATATAAAAAGCGATGTATAATCATTTTGAATAAATGGATATCCACATAATTAAATCATACATATATATATTTTTAATTTATTTTTAGATTTAATAATGAAGCAAACATTCGAAAAATGCTCTTACTATTTTGGTTGAAAATAGAAAAAACAAGTAATTTTTAGCAAAAAAAAACCGACTTCAACTCTCATAAACAAAAAATTTATATATAATATATATCTCATGATCCACTGATCGGATCTTAACTAGATTAGTATGGGACCACCTCTGAGACACTACCTTCCCGATGCAAAAAGAACTATCGAAAACGGTTGACGTGGTCCAAAGTTATGCGGTAACATACATAAAAAAATATTCCGACGAACTGATAACCTCCTCCTTTTTTGGAAGTCGGTTAAAAACAAAAACCAACTCGCGAAAGTGGCCAAAGCTGCTTTAAGCTTAAACTACATATGTGTGTTTCCATAACGTCGGACGTGAAATTCGTACGACGACTTTAGAGTTAAATAACTCAAAGTAAAACGTAAGTCACTTCTAAAAACTTTTGCCGTTGTGCAACTTTTATTCCGTCCTTCGGGTGACAAAAAAAAATTAGATGCGATTAGATCAAATTCTAAAATAGGGCGTTCTTCAATCAAATTCTAAAATGGGGCATTGTTGAAAAAATTTTTGACTTAGGGCGTTTTCGAACTGGCTGCCGAGAGATAGGTCGATCTTCCACTCAGCCATCGATATGGCATGCGTGTAAGTATGTATGTTATGTGTGCATGCATGTAACTTACTGGTGTAAAATGAGTAGCATTTTCTTTGGCATTGGTACCGCATCAGGTACGTGAAATCTAACAAATTAATTAAAAGGATTTTTCGGTTATAAAAGTTCGGAAAGTGGTGAGATGGAAATGTACCTAAGAGAGTATGAGGAGCAGAAAAGTTGAGTGCGGTTTTGTTAAAATTTGTTTAAGTAAACGAAAACAACCACAGAAATTTAATCTCGTAATGTACGCATCGGTGAGACTAGTATTTGCAGTGGAGCTGCAGTGAGTAATGATCATTTGTTGAGTAGCTGCTTTGTGAGTCTTTAGGTAAACGTATTAACATACTCAAGCACACTAAAAATAGCAGAGATTCTATGACTACTTGTGCAACTACAGTTCAACTTCTCTATAATGAATGCCAAAAAACCTGAAAAATTACTTCGTTATATACATAGAGAATTCATTATTCATATAGGAATAAATTGCGTTTTTTAACAATTTTATTTGAAGTGATCCTCCTCGACTAAAATGTCGAACACATTGAAAGAAGCAATATGTTAGAATATACATACATACATACATAATTATCATTTTAAAAATTTATGAATTCCCTTGAATGCAGTATACATTTATTGGTAAAAAACTACGTACTGACGCATTCGGATAAATTCGTTGTAAAAAGTATGAAAATGATTCAGCTCTCACATTTTTGTAGTTGATTCGCAGAAAAAAGGCTTCGTTATTCAGAAGTTCGTTATAGAGAAGTTTGACTGTACAACTACAGATATGTGGCTATGTGAGTAATTAAGCTTACGTTTCCGAACAATTTGCGTTGAGCTGCAATTAAGACGATGTAACGTGACTTAATTTTATTTTTATACGCACACTTGTGGCTACTTATGCACATACGATGTATGTATGTCTGTCCGTTAGTGTGGTCCAAAAATGCATGCGAAAAATACATGCCCGAATTTTAATGCTCTCACCCGCTAGAATTGTTCTATACCGAAAAATCTTACGTCTGTTTTTTCATATTTCTAAATCAAAAAATATTTACATATTTATTGTTTATTTTAAATTTTTTATTTAATAGTGTAAATTTTTTATGGGTTCTCTAATTGCATTTTTTGGGGTTTTTGGGGGACCTATATAAAATTAATATTGGAAAATGAACAAAATAAACAATTTTGTATTATTATTAAAAGGGTCTAGAAGAGAAGAATTCTATACAATTTCTACGAATATTGGATTTTTTCTCATATAAAAAAAATGGAAAACTTTGAATGCTTTGAGCAACCTTAAATATTTTTTAATTACGGTACAGAATAATTCTAGGGGGTGCGAGCATTAAAATTTCGACTTTACTTTTTTGGATGACCCTCATGTACATTCGTATAAATATGTATACTTATATAAATGTTACAGCATTTATTTATATGGCACATCTCTTCAATACAACGCAAAAGAAGAAGAGCAAATAAAAGGAATTCGCATACATCTTCAGCACACCATTGCAAGCAAAGGATTTCCTTTTCCAATGGAACCCATACACAAACGAAGCACTTTTCCATCTTCAATACAAACGAAGATGTATGTTTTTTTTTTACATACGTAGCCTTTGTTCATTGTGTTTTCACTCCTTATGCTAGCACTTCGCAATTCTTTGGCAACCTTCCTTCTCCAGACGCATGATTGCGTGGTTTCACACAAAAATAGATGCAGCTACCTCGATATTCACTGCTTTTAACCCATCGACTAGCGCCTCTCATTTCAACCGACTAGTGGAACGCAGCTTGTCAAGGATCGGTTGGTATGGAATTAAATTCATTAGCAGCACTAAATTACAACCTCATGTATGTGATTACGAGAGCTTTTTATTTACACTCAAGAAGCACATACATACATACATACATACTACAAAAAAGCATTGATATCAGTACCAGGAAAACGCACGGTTGCCAATACCTGTTTTTTTGCGTACCAAAAACTGTACCAGAATGTAAAAAATGTACCAAAATATGGTTAGCTTTAGATTTAGCTATTCAAACATGTTCCAATTACACATTGGTGCTACAGTTAATAAACCAATTTTTCACGTATTTTGTGAACTTTTTTATAATGCTGGAATATACCTTCCTTAAGAAAAATTCTCTATAAAAACGGACAAATAGTTGTTTTAGTATAAACTTAGTTGTTATAAAAGATCATTCCACACTGGAGCAATCGTAAATTTAAATGCTTTATAGGGTGTCATGTCTCAGATTCTGGACGGAGACGATATATTTATAAGAGTCTTAGGCCTATGATACGTGGAAAATCGCATATTATACATTCATTCCATCCACAAAACCTGCAGTCTAGTCAGATAGCCTGTGAAAGTGCACAGGCCTTCCGGACTAAAATTCAGGAGTCATTCCGAGATTCTTTTAGGGGAGTTAAAAGTTTCTAGATTGCCTTATCCCGTTGTCGTACACCGTTCAACTTATTCGTTGCCATCGAAACCTTCCATGTCCCAGTATCCAGTATTCCAGTTGTCCACAGGCCCTGATACTACGTGGCTGTCAGACAAGATACTTATCCTGGCCCCATTTTTCTTTCTGCGAAGGCTTTCACTGTTTCAGTTGAATTTTTTATTCGGTGTTTACTCTAAATACCTCTCCTCTTGCGATGACTAAATATTCGAAACATCCGGTTGCGATTTAGCCACATTGACTTTCTTTCTTTTAGTGAAACTGGCGATGGTGGACTTTATTGATAGATCCTTTTCAGAGCACCGTTTCTCCATGAGTTTTAAGGCTGCCTGCAAACTAGAGACAATATTGCAGCCGCCATATAGATTAACAGCCTGTCTGCATAGCCAAAAGTGTTGCCCGTTAAACTTTCCAGGGGATCCTACTTACTGCCTCCTAATTCTTACTGCCTTATAGTTCTGGATTCAAAATACTTTTGATGCATGCAGTAATTGCATTAGAAGAAATATGCTTTCTTGCCATGGCCTTGGACCGTGCTTCGTATGATGTTCTATGAACTGCAGTCGCAATGTCAAGTAACGCACAAATGGCTATTTGGTTATACTGAAATGTTTTCCAATTTACTGTGTGAGATTATTGAGTAGGTATATGATATCAGT